TATATATATATATATATATATATATATATATATATATATAGCAAAAAGCAATGGACCCAAGATAGATCCTTGCGGAACACCTAAATCATTGGATTGGTGATTTTGTACACACTGAAATCTATCTGATAGATATGACTCTCTCCAGTTAAGTGTATGTAATGAAAAATTAAAACAAGATCACTTAGACATAAGGATTCTATGATTAACGGTGTCAAAGGCTTTCTTTAAATCAAGGAACATGGCTCCAACTACACCACCTTTATCTAAGAAAGTTTTAATATTTTCTATAAAAAAACAATTTGCAACTGCTTTGGATGCAATGAAAATGAACTACTACTCAAGTAACTGCTAATCTATTCTTCAACTAATTTCTCCATAACCTTAGAAACAGTGGGTAAAATATTAATTGGCCTATAATTATCAATAGAAAGGGGATCTCCACTTTTGAATATTGGAACAACAATCGCCGACTTCCAAACACTTGGGAATTTTCCCTGAGAAATTGAAAGGTTAATAACTTTAGTAATAGGTTTAATTAGAGTCGAACTAGACTCTTTGAGCATAACAACATCCATACCATATTTCTCTTTTGCTCTAGATGATTTACGAGATCTAATTGTTCTCATAACATCAGAACACTAACAGGCCATATTCTAAAAACAGGCTCCACTGTTGTAACTGGACAGACATTAGTATACGCAGGCGGAAAACAACGAGTAATTGTTTCTATGGAATCAACAAAATGATGATTAAAAATCTCTACCACCTCAGCTGGATTGTTTATTGATTTCCCCTTTACTTTAAGTTCTAGAATTTTCTTATCTTCATTTTGTTGTCCTGTTCATTTTTTTTTAACTCATTCCAGGATTTCCTCTTGCTTTTTCTATCACAGTGAGGAAAAAAATCTGCTTTAGCTTTTCGTAATTTCTTTACCACAGAGTTCCTTAGCATAGTAAATCGATATCTATCATTACTCAATTTAGTTTTAAGTGAGATATAAAGTGACTCATGTTTTAATTTATGCAGGTGTTGTGTTATTATGTTCACTTTTTACCTCACCGATAAAAATAGCATATGAGATTGGAATTTTAGTTTGACAGATACCAACATACAATGCCACTGCTAGAGAAAACGTTTGACTACTGAGATTTAGGCAAATGTCCCATGAGACAACTAGCCCCGGTCTAAATATGAGCTTATTGTCTCTCAGCCGGGGAGAATAGACCCTCATCACCCAAAGGTCTGCGGCCACCAGGGCAGCGTGATGGACATCAGATGGAGTCCGTTCATGGACAACATCATCGCGTCCAGCTCCGAGGACTGTACGGTGAGAATCTAACCTGTTAACTGTGATGACTGCGGCGACGACATTTATGCCAATGCAGCCGTGACCTTTGACCTCCAGGTGAGAATCTGGCAGATTCCTGACGGCGGTCTGAGGAGGAACATGACCGAAGCTCTGATGATCCTGATTGGTCACAGCCGGAGGGTGGGGCTTATCGAGTGGCATCCCACCTGCAGCGGCATCCTGCTCAGTGCCGGATACGACTGCAAGGTAACCACGACAACCAGAACTAACTCTAACTAACCCGCAGTGACCTGAATGACGTTTCGTCTGAATTGACGTTTACATCACAGATTCTGATCTGGAACCTGGAGGAGGGCGTGGCTGTGAAGATGATTGACAGCCATCCAGACGTCATCCTCTGTATGTCCTTCAACACCGATGGAAGTTTACTGGCCACCAGCTGTAAGGATAAAAAACTGCGCATTATTGATCCACGTTCAGGGAAAGTTCTTCAGGTGAGAGCAGACGTCATATACCTCAAACCATATATTTGGAAATAAGTGTTGATTTTGAATAATTCTGATTTACTAAATTTTTATTTAAAAAAAAAATATATATATATATATTTTTTTATAATAAACATAAAACTATGCATATATTTAATTAAAATAAATTTTAGTTTTTTAGATATCCTGTATTTTATTTTCAGATTAAAATTTTAACTATACATTCTATTTAACTGTTCATGTGTGTATAATTCAATATATTTTGTTGGAAATAAATGTTATCTTTGCATCATCCCAGTTTGGTGTCACTGAATTGTAATTTTTTATATTTGTATATTTTTTATGATAAATACATAAATATCTCTATATTTTAACTAAATAAATATTAATTAAAAAATGTATATTTATTTGTTTAATTCTGTATAATGTGTTCATCCGAACAGGAAGCAGACTGTAAAAGCACCAGAGTGAACCGCGTGGTGTTTCTGGGTAATCTGAAGCGTGTCCTCACCACGGGCGTCTCCAGGTGGAACACTAGACAGATTGCATTGTGGGATCAGGTAGGCTCTAAACTGTTTAATGCCACTAGGCCGACTAGAATAGTAATCAAATCGCTTCAGGCATTTGTTTAAAGGGGTCATATGATGTTGCTAAAAAGAACATTATTTTGTGTATTTGGTGTTAATGCGCTTTAAAGTAAAAAAAACACATTATTTTTCACATACTGTACATTATTGCTTCTCCTCTATGCCCCGCCTTTCTGAAACGTGTCGATTTTTACAAAGCTCATCGGTCTGAAAAGCGAGGTGTGCTCTGATTGGCCAGCAATCCAGTGCGTTGTGATTGGCCGAATACCTCAAGCGTGTGACGGAAATTTTACGCCCCTCACCATACTGTGATGCCCTGTCCGGCCGGAGCAACGAGACAAAAACATTAAAACCCATTATAAACGAGGCATTTGTTGCATCCAATGGGGACATAATTACTGATTATAATGACTTATACTGTCTTTTTACGGGTTGCGTTGCATTGCGCTGCGTAAACATAAAACCATGTCTGCATTTGTGATCGGAGAAATGACAAACAACAAGCGCTACTCTACACTGCTCAAAACTCACGTTTGAATCGTCAGTGGCAAATTCTTTAAATATGAAAACGTACTTACAGTCTGTGAGTCAGAACAGCTGGCATTGTAGTCTACTCTCCCAGGATCAGGAAACAGTCCTCCATAAAATATGCTGCACACATCTGAATATTTGGGTTGAAGTGTTCTGGAACAGTGTTGTAAATACAACTTAATCACTGATTTCTAGTCGTGTCCTCTTTTGGAAGACCAAACAAAGTAGTTTCGCTTTTGCAGCGAAACACACAGCATCACACACAGCATCACACACGGAGGGCTAGAGTGAGGAACGGCCAGCGTATTCGACGAAGGAGCATCTGGAGGGCTTGCGGCAACCACATGTGACGACCCCGGGCTGAACTCCACTTCGTCCACGGTGAAAGCCGATTCGGTGATCCACAGCGCAAAGTTGATGTATTTCCTCAGCGACCAGCACGGATCAGCTCTAGGCATGAGGAAGCAGATATCGTCCTCTTTTGGAAGACCAAACAAAGTAGTTTCGCTTTCACAACGAAGCACACAGCGCCTTCACGACATGGCGGTGGCAACAACAATACTACAGCGAGAATAAAAGTTACGCCTTCTTTCTTTGCGTGAACATTTGGGCGGCGTTATGCAAATCTTCCCACATAGTGATGTAGACGTGTGGGGGCGTGTTAGAACGAGCCGTTTTAGGTAGGTGTGGCTGACTCTTAACTTTTATAAAGAATATCTCTTTGGATTTGAGACTTTAGTCTTTGCAATTTTACAGATCTTCTTTATGCACCAAGAGCTTGTAACACTCCAAAGAGAAAGGAAAAATTTAAATCGCATCATATGACCCCTTTAAACATGCAGGAGGATCTGTCTGCTCCCATCACAGAGGAGGAGATCGACGGGCTGTCTGGTGTCCTCTTCCCCTTCTATGATGCTGACACACACATGCTTTATCTGGCCGGGAAGGTGAGCCACTCTCCAGTAAAACAATCTGAAGCATGCAGAACTGTGGGTCATCTTACTGTCGAGATGGTCTCGCATCCACAGGGAGACGGAAACATCAGGTATTACGAGGTGAGTCCTGAGAAACCCTTCCTGCAGTTCCTGATGGAGTTCAGATCGCCGGCTCCGCAGAAGGGTCTGGGTGAGTTACTGTCACCAAATCATTCCATATTCTTGATGCAAAGTTCAATATCAAGGCAAAAAGTTAAATGCTAATGAACACATTGCATTTATTTTATTTTATAATCGAATTGGTTAGAATTTAAATATTAGTATAAATATTAATAAATAAATTATATGGTGTTTCACAATTTTTCAAGCATTGCATCAGTTATTATTGAGTCAAATACAATTACAATAAAATCTATAAGAAACATAAAAGCATAAATCATTTTTGAAAATTGTGAAAAAAAAACTGAATATGAAATACATGAATAGTCAAATAAAATAAATGAAGTAAAATATATATATATATAGTATTGTGCTGTCAAAAAATTAATCGTGATTAATCGCATACAAAATAAAAGTTTTTGTTTACATAATATATGTGTGTGTACTGTGTATATTTATTATGCATATATAAATACACACACATACAGTATATATTTTGAAAATATTTACATGTATATATTTATATTCATATAATTGATATTATATATAAATATATTCAATATATAAACACAACATGTTTTTCTGAAATATATGCATGCATGTGTGTGTATTTATATATACATAATAAATACACAGTACACACACATATATTATATAAACAAAAACTTGTATTTTGGATTCGATTAATCGAGATTAATCGTTTGACAGCACTAAGTAAGGGATAATGTACATCCAGCCGGTTGTTATCTCAGAATAAACCCCTTCAGGCTGATACAAAATGATCACCCTGTCGGGGTTTATTCTGAGATAACAACCGGCTGGATGTACATTATCCCGCTTATTACACGGCTACTTGCCACATAAGTAAATAATTAGACACGAAATATTGATTTGAGTTGAAATATTTGAACGCAAAGCTTCCGTGAAGACAGCAGCTGCGAGCAAGCGGCAAATTCAAACTAGACGGACATTTAAGAGAAACAAAGCTTCCACCAAGAAAAAATAGTTCAAGCAAGAGTACAGCGCCAACTGCTGTTACCCGGATGAGCCTGTGTTATTAGCTTTTACCGGTTGTTATCAAGAGATAACATCCCTCGGAATGTCGCGACTGACCAATCAGAATCAAGTATTCCACAGAGCCGTGTAATAATATAGTATAATATATAGTAAAATAAAATATCTTAAATTTTGTGTGTGTGTGTAACTTTGTAAGTTAATCTGCTCTCTTGACTGCTCAAGACAAATTTCTCCTTCTGGAGACAATAAAGAAAGAAATGATTGAATGTATAATATAATATAATTAAACTAAATTTAATTATAGGGTGCTTTGCTTCAGGTTTTTCAGTTATTATTCAAGTAAAATAAAAAAAATACGTAAAATTTAAAAGAAATAGAACAATAGAAGTGATTTTGAAAATATATCAATAAAATAAAATACAGAAGTAGCAAAATAAAACAAAAATTTTTTTTGTTTTATTATTTTATTTTATATTTGAATTAGTTTATTTAATACTGAAATATTAGAACATATTAATCAACTAAATTATATGATATGGTGTTTCTCAATTATTCAAACATTGTTTAACACAAGTTATTATTGAAGTAAAATAGTATTACAGAATCAATAAAAACGATATAAACGTTTAAAAAAATTAATTGAACAAAAAATTGTATAAAATAAAACAATAAAATATAATACCAACGTATCCAAATAGAAGAAAATAAATAAATGGAAACTAATAAAAATGACTTCTTTTTTTTCTTAAAAAATGAAAGGAAAGTTAAGTTGGCGGTGAATGAGTCTGATCTGATGTTGGTGTGCAGGTGTGATGCCCAAACGCGGCATGGATGTGAGCGAGTGTGAGATCTTCAGGTTTTATAAGCTGGTGACTCTGAAAGGTCTGGTGGAGCCCATCTCCATGATCGTCCCGCGCAGGGTGAGCAAAACAACAATGAAATCAGACGCTTCTCTGAATCAAACAAAGCATGTCCAGGGGGTAGATTCCAAGTCTTTATGCGAGCAACAGACTGAAACCATGCCACTATGCTCTAAAAAAATCAAATCTTCAGTAATCTTTTCAGCTGTTATAAATGTGATCTATTTACGCTGCAGTCTGAGACGTATCAGGAGGATATTTTCCCGATGACGGCGGGCACAGAATCAGCCCTGTCGGCCGCTGAGTGGCTCAGTGGGATTGACAGAGGTGACGTCTTCTCCTTCACGTACATGATGAACATGATCTGAATTCATTCATGCGTTTGATCTGTGTGTAAAGTCATCTGTGTGTGTTTGTGCAGGGCCACAGCTGATTTCCCTTAAAGAAGCTTATAAACGTCCAAATCCAGCAGGTCTCAGAGCATCTAAACGGGACAGACGGACAGTGAAGGGCATCGACCTGCTGGAGAACATTACACCGAACACAGACAAAGAGGTGTGTGTGTGTATGTGTATGTGTATGTGCATTACGCCTATGGAGAGTCCCCACAAGGATAGCAAACCAGACATGTGTGTGTGTGTGTGTTACTGTTGGAGATTTTTTTTCATGTTTATGAAAGAAGTCTCTCTGGCTCATCAAGGCTGCATTAATTTGATCAACAACAACAACAAAAAACAGTAAAACTGTGATAAAACACATTAATATATATATATATATATATATATATATATATATATATATATATATATATACATATATATATATATGAATGTGTTTTTGTGACTATTTTGGGGTCTTCAGATCAAACCGGTGCATCAGACATTATAAATCGGGTATTTTTAGCAAAACAAATCCAGCTTTGATGCAGCACTTCAGTGTTTTTCATCACAAACTTTGTGTAGCATCACACTAGAAATTATATTTCATGTTTTGTCTGCTTTTGATTTGATTCTTTGGCCAGCTGTTTTGAGTTTAAGTTTGGTGATTTTTTTTATTTAATATGGGTTATGTTTTAACTTTTTAAATTGCCCATAAGAGGGTGTTTTTCTACAGAGAAGACTCCATTTGCTCTCTATATAATCTTTTGATGTCTAGGAGAAAGAAAAGTGAGATATTAAGGAGATTGTTCTGTCTCATAAGCAGCTCCTGAAGATGGTCTTCAAGCAGCAGGATGAAATTAGGAAACTCAAAGATGAACTCGGAGAAAAAGACGAGAGAATCCGACAACTGGAGCTGGAGCTCAAGAACCTGAGAAACACGTGACGAGCAAAACAGAGCTGCTTGTTCGGGTTGTTAAGGTTACACTCAACAACAACAAAAAACTAATAGTTTTATGATTTTATGGAATTTAATAACATTATTGAAGATGGATGTACGTTTGTACGGCTCTCACTTGTGGTTTTAAAGGGACAGTTCACCCAAAAATGAAAAGTCATGCATTATTTACTCCCCCTCATGTTCTTCAAACCCATATGCTGATATTTTTCAGTATAATGATGTTCAGCTGATGTCTTGAAACATTGCAGTGCTACTTTCATTATATTCAAAACAGAAGCTCTGACATTCAGGTAAACATTTTCCATAGAAGAAAGTAAGTCATACAGGTTTAGGATGACATATTGGGGAGTATTTGATGAATTTTCATGTTTTGGTGAACTCTTTCTTTAAGATACAGATGTGCAAATGAAGTCTTGATGTTTACAAGTTCAAACAGATGTGCTTCTTCATTTGTAGAGGAAGCGAATGAAGTGCTTCCGGTTGTTTGCCAGCAGATGGCACCAGAGGAGAGAGAGCAAACTCATCTCAAAGTCTTAGTCTGCTCTATATATACATGAGATGTTCAAAATCAGTCATTGTGTTGGTTATTTATGCTGGCTTGATTTGTAAGTAGGACATGACATGTTTACAAATAAAATATTGCTCAACCACTGTGAATCTGTTTTATGTTTCACAAGAGCCTTCTTTCCGTTAAGTTTTAATTCCCATTCACAGCAAGAATGGTAGCTCTGTAAGCAATATCACACGAGTAGACGTGAGATATGACGCTGCTTCAAGCTGTTGTTGAAACTAAAAATAACTTTAGTTTATAGCGTTTATAACTTTTTAATGTAAAAGTCTTTACTGCCGACACATATACCGTCTCTTGTCGTCATCTAATGGCGGAACAATGTAACTAAAATCACCATAACGAACACGCACCGTTTCTCAATACGAACACTATTATTAAATAGTATTATTTATATAAAATATTATTTATTGAATAATAATATTTAATAAACAACAACAACAGCCATCATAAAAGTTGCTAGGCAATTCAGTCAAAAGTAAAAAGGCAGCGCTCTGAAATACATAAACATGAGATTTAGTTGCCAAAACTATCTTCTCTGTAACAAATAATAGATTAATGACACCAAAGGCAACTGTTAGATTTAACCAAAATGAATTATATCTCATGTGTAACCACTACAGAGACATCAGAGCCAGCGGTAAATTCCAGAAGACCTGGCCGAGGTGAGGCGCTCTGGGGCGGCTTCATGAGCGCAGGACGGCCGCAGACCATCTGGAGCTCACATGTCCGAAAAGTCGACGCAAATTTTCAAGTAGACGTTATCTTTATTAATAAACTGCATATTTGAACTATAAAAAAGTACATTCTCGCCTGAAAACCTTTTAACACTACCGTATTGACCCGAATATAAGAAAATGTTTTATCTGAAAAAACGCGGTCTAGACTTTGACATGTCAATAATACACCCACAACAATAGTGATTGTCCCTTCGTGATTTTAAAACGTAAGACAGTACCCAGATTTGAAGACTACAGTAAGATTTAACTTCTACTGTTAGGCTTTGGTAGGCTACTATTAGATGGATAGCCTGAATGTCCTTTTTTTATGGTATATCAAAAAGTGTATATATTTTTAAATGTGATTGTTGGTACATCTGACCAGTTTTTACCATACTTTCAAAACAAAAATTAAAATAGGAAAAATATGCAAGATGAAAATAATTGAAGACAAAATGTGTTTTACTGAGAAAAAACAAGATTTGGTTTTTAAAAAGCCTTTTTCCAAAAGGTACATCTGGAAAAAGGGGGGTCGTCTTATATTCGGACCAATACGGTACATTCCGTGACACAAAAACAGTAATATTTATAAAATGATACTGGATTTGGGTGTCCGCCATGACACTCGCTGAGTGATACGATTACAAACTGTGAAGCGGCTGTTGGAGTTCTAATATCACTCTAATATCGCACTCTTATCATCCAATCAAATTCGAGGACCAGAAAGAACTGTTGTATTAAACGCTATAAATATCATCCACACCAACAGACGATAATGTTCTGTTTATTATAAGCGCGGGGGCGAAGTTTTGTCATTGCCGCTTTAAATATTTGCACTCTTTAAAGCAGAATGCTGATTGGCTGTCAATGTTTTTATGGTTCATCAGTTGTAATAAAATCGTATATAATGATTCGCGATACGTGATTTGAAGTTCCGATGAATCGAATGATTTGTGATCCGATTGGAGAGCTTCAAAACAGTGAATCATTTTGCGACACATGGTTTGATTCAGAGTTTCGAAAAAGCTTTCACAAATCACTACACGTGCTTTATAAAATCATCACAAGCGATGTGGAAATTCCTGGTTTTTGCAAGCGAAACGCTTGTACTGAATGATTGAAGTAACGAGTTTGAATCATCGGAGCGGTTTCAGCGTAAATGACTCACTCAATTGAATCAGTTTGTCTCTTTTCGCGCCTTCAGCCATGTTTTTACGACACCGTCAGTAGGCTAGGGCTAGGCTACTACTGGCTTAGCTCGCTAGTTTTATGACATTAACTGAAATAAGTGGGAAAAGTATGTAGTTTTCAAATAAGATATCAATATTTCCATTCCAAAGATAGCATCCAACACAAATCTATGAACATATTCAGATGAGGTAACCTGCTAATTGGAACACTCCATTAATATGGCGAGCTGCACCTCACTTTTTTCTCTATTTTAAAGTTTGACTCCTGCAATTCAGTTGGTGACAGTTCAAGAGGAAATCATTCCATGCACATCTGATTGACAGACAGACCACACATTTCAGTGATGTTTTTTTATTTAGTAGATATTTCAGCTAACAGTTTGCCTTGATCAACAACAAAGTCAGGGTAAACTTTATCATTCAACTGAACTGTGCACGTATGTTTTAAACGTCGACTACCTTGTATGTATTAAATGTATGTCCTTGAAAGCGAAATTACAACAACAGTGGTTACATATTCATATATTTAATTGTTTGATCAAAATTATTGCTGGGGACAATTTACTTAATCGCTAGATATTGGTAGGAAGGGACATGTCCCTAGCCTCCCTACTAAATTCTACATCCTTGGTAAGTATTAACAATTGTTCTAATTCTATGAAATTCTGTAATGATACTATATTCTTATATAGCTAATTATAACGTTATAACGATAACAACACACGATATCATTGAAATCACTTTCAGAATTATTTTTTTTCTTCAGATGATAAAACAACAGCAACAACATTGATTTGAGCAGAACGTAATGGTGCATTGGTGAGGATGGTAATATAATAATTTTTATAGTTCATTCTGAACGGGGTTCAGAAGAAAGGTTAAAGGGGTCATATGATGTTGCTAAAAATAAGAACAATTGAAATCGCATCATATGACCCCTTTAAGAAGATCCAAGAATCCAGGATTCGTGGCCTGAATGTGGATCTCTCACCTCATTTAGAATGAATGACAGATCAGTGCAAACGGTCGTTCAAGGTCTGTGCCCCACACGCAACCTCCCACAGCATGTGTCCTGGAACGCAGCAACAGCACTTTGAAAACCTCCGCCAAAGACTTGAAGAAAATGTCAACGGTAGTGCTCCGGTTTCACAAAGAAAGAAGAATTGCTGTCATTTGTCTAGTCGTGGCCAAAATGAAATCACCTCCAGCTGAATATTTGAGGCTGGAATCCAATATCAGAAGATGAACTTCAGCAATATCTTTTACTCAGAGCTACCATGATGTAGGGTAACTACGAAAAGAGAATGCCTTGGGATACAAAATAAAATGTTAAAGAAATAGTTCACCCAAAATGTTAATTATTTATTTTCTATTTTTATATTATTAATTATGCATTACAGTTATTTTATATGTAACCACTTTTTCCCAAAACCATGTATATAATTTTCTTTAGAACACAAAAAGGAACTTTTGCATGATAAACAGGCCGAAATAACTGGTAATTTTCTGAAGATCTAATGGTTTCTGGGTGAACTATTTCTTTTAAATGTGGCATTTTTTTTACTAGCATGTAAGTGAAATACCGATGTGCCCATGACATGATAATAATTTTCTCTGATAATATTTAATGCAATCTTGTCATGTGTTTTTTATCAGCTGTTTAGCATCAGAATTAACGATGCCAGATCTCAAATGAATAACTATTTTGATTATCTAATCGGTTAAACGGGTTTGCAAGAAATAGGTAAGTTTAGGGTTGTGGGGTAGATGCATATCATATGTACGCCAACAAATTTCATATCATATGCACGTGAAAACTGCGTATTATATGCACGCCAAACACATGCGTATCATGTGTACGCCAAAGTCAATTTTTGCGTATCAATACCACGAGTTTTAGTTTTTATTTGGCATACTATTTATACGCATTTTCATGAGACCGGACTCTTTATTTCGCCTTTCAGCTCGTGAACTCTGTACTGCAGGTATAAAGACAATTTATATCCATAACAAAAAAGAGTATCAGTGGTCCAGTACTGATTAAAGTCTAGAAACATTAGTCTTTAAGTGTCTTGCTTGCTCTAATGTCCCTCAGACACACTCAGCACACCTTGTTCTGCTTTCCAGAGCTAATATGATCACTGTCTGCCAAGAAGAAGACGATTACATTGTAATCAATCCTCACGACTGCAAACGATGTTGTGATGTCTTCGTAATGAGTTGGGGAGCTTTTAGTCATGAGATGGGCTGGATAATGGCCTCATCTGATCTGAGGGACAAAATGAAGCTATATAGTTCATGCTTAAATGTCGAAAATGGATTGAGAAGGCGCGACGGCCGGGTTACGCCCAGTGGAAACGTTATCGTCGGTAACACAATCTGCTTTCATTCGGCCGGTTTGATGATTAGAATGTTATCAATGTCATAAGACGTCTTGGAAATGGCAGAAATAATGACCAGAGTGACTGATACATTGCATCATGGGAAATTTTTCAGCCCCAGACGGCATAATTGAAGTGATAAACTTAGCAAACATCAATCATAGCGACTGTAGAAGGCGCTGGAGGAAAGATGAATGTCATTTCAACCTTGGAAAAAATTAAGTGTCTCGCCTATCTAATGCAAAAGCAATGTATGAAGCATAATTAAGTATTTTTTTCTTCTTCTTTAAGTTATATTAGAACATTTTTTTTTAGCATTTGTTAGCAAGTTAACCATGCTAGTTTGTGCTTCTGATTGTGGCTTTGTCTCATGCATCCTAAGAATAAGCAAATTTCCATATGAGCCTATCGAGATCATCTAACTGCCTTCAAATTACAAGCTGCTGTAATAATTACAGTTGCACAGCATTTAATTTGGTTGTGCATTGATTCAGATGTTCTCAGCGCAGTCTGATTTGATTTGCGGTGCCATTTCTGATACGTACGAGCTGAGACTTTGAATTATAAAACCGAATGACATACAGTATCTTGTATTTGTTGAGTTTGAATTTAAAGTGTGTAAATTTTTGCATGCTTATATATGTTCTCGTATTATTGACAAACCATTTGTAGGTTTATTTGAAGACCGTGTAGCAGACCTGTCTCAAAAGTGAATATGAGGTGCTCAACACAGCATAAAACAGTTTATGAGGTGCGAAAAGGTTTTACTGGGAATATTTTCAACGGCCA